CCTGAGGGTAGGTTGAGGGCCCTGCTGCTGCGGGCCGACTGGAGGACCGTAGTCACCTCTGGGGTGAACCCCGCCGTCAGTGCGTGTTGGGGAAATACCTGTCTGCTGGGTGTGGCAGGGATGCAAAGACGGTACCGCACCGCCCTTCCTGGGAGTAGGTTACCTAGAAAATTACGCGGAATAAAAAGATGAGGCTTAATGGTGCTAAAAAGATTTTCCCATGCGTTGGGTTTTATCATGGGGGTTATTGTAATAACTGGCATGTTCCAACTTCCTGCGCATCATTCTTGACGTAATGCCCCAGTAACTCAGCCGAGGCACATCTCCCCTCTCCAGCAGGTGCGACGGGGCAGGCTGGGGGCGGAGCACAGTGACACGGCTGGCAGGCCAGAGCTGGGTCTCCCAGTGGAGAGGTAAGTCAGACTACGAACTCCGAGGTTCGCTACTAGTTCTGCAGCTCCGTGCAGTGCCAGGCAGGGCCCGTTTATCTTCTCCGAACCTTCCTCAACTTCCCCACCCCCTCCCCTGCCTCACCAAGCCCAAATAAACACACAGTGTAAGTAGAGAGAAGCGGTGGCTGTGCGTCCTAGACCCCGTCGAGTCGTCCAGCCCCCTCCCGGGCCCCCTTACACAGGCAGGCACCCTGTCCCTATCTGACCTCCATCCCTCACTCCCGGGGAGGATGGGTCACTCGGTTAAATCCTGTCCTGGTTTCCCAGCTCACCCAGAGACTGAGCCACTCTTACTCTGCAAGATATGCAGGGACCAGCTGGGTGAATGGCGCATTACCTAGGATACGGGACCACTGCCCCTCCAAGTGGGTGTGCTTACTTCAGAGTAACTTCTGCAGTAAGTTTCCCCAGAACAGTTTGCTGCTCTGGACGGGACCGTGAGGCTCTGCCACATCACCCTTATTCCTGACAGTGTCGAAGGAGGTTTAAGCAAGTGGGGTTCTGCAAAGCCACCGGCCTGCTGCGACTTCCAGTGCCTGTCCCATTAGGCTGGGCTACGCACTTGTACCGTGCACATGCTACTTTGTGCCAGCGACAGACAAGGTGTCAGTCTGATCTGAATTCTTCTCACCACCTCAGGAAACATGCTTTTTGCTCAGGGAGTGGGTGGTAAATTTCCTTGAACCGGAGTCTGTAGAGGCCAGCAGCAGCACCCTAAGTCCAGGGGTGGGTGGAGACTCAGCCCCTAACCTGCCCTGTGGACCCCGTATGCTGCATGACCGTCTTAGTTTTCTCATCTGTATGATGGGAATGAAGGTGATCACTTCCGGGCTGTTGTGATGATTATGCACACTTGTGATACACTTAGCAAAATGCCTGGTTTCATCAGGGATCAAAAAATGTTCACTTCCCTCATGTTTTCTCATTCCTTTCTGTGCCGACACTGCAGCCGTGCCGTGTACATTTGATGCGTGTTCTGTCAGTGCATGAAGCATGTAATGTTAATCTCAGATCACCAGGTACCCACAGGGTGCCTAGTGTGTGTACCACACACGACTCATAGGAGATTTTAAGACAAAAACCCCTATCTCAAAAGGGACTTCCACTCTCCCCTGGGTGACAAGCAGCATATACACAAAAAGAAACAGGATTAATGGGAAAAACCTCCAATTCAGGAGTCGGCTAAGCTGGATATTCAGGCTGCTTCTGCCACCGGTTCCCAGTGTGACAGGGATTAATAGTGACCAAACTGAGGGCTGAACGCGTGCCAAGCGGTGTGGATTAACTCACTTAATCCTTCCAGTGACCAAGGAAGGTTCTCACTACTGTCCCCACTAAACAGATAAGCAGACCGAGGCTTGGGCAGATCACACAGCCGCTGTCTCAGTAAATCCACGCGGGAGCCGCGTTCAGCCGGGCAGCCTGACCCCTGCACCACTCCGTATGGGGATGAGTCACTCCACCGCTGTGGACCTTTTTTTTAAAAATGTAAATGAAAAGGGGATCAAGTAGATGATACGGGCCCTGTCCAGATGACTTTTTATGTCTAAGAAGAAAATAACATAAAAATGTTAAATAAGTTAGGCCTGACATACTTTTAAGAGCAGCATTAAGTGGGTGTAGTTGCTTCATTCCTTGTGGGTGGGAAGCCTCTACAATATTCCTTCCTTCTATGTCCCTGGTTCCAGTTTCCCACTCAGAAGCCAAAGAAGTGACCCTGCAGCTGATTTAGAGCCTGGCGGCCGACTGTGCCCACATGGGCAGGGTAGCGGGCACCATGGACTAAGAATCCCAGGCTTCCTATATAACAGATATACACAAGGGGAAGCATGCGCCACACACACACACACACACACACACACACACACACACACACCACCATCCCACCCTCCACTGAAGCTCAGTACCCGGTCCTCCAGCTCAGTTGTCATGGCAACACCAGCTGCCAATGAGATCATGGAAGACATGGTTATAATGGCAGCAATGCCTTAATATTTTTACCTGGCAAAACCACTTAGGTGGTGCGATGAATACCCATAAGTCATACATCCAGAGGAGCCGGGGCACCGCTTGTCGTGTCCAGTGAGCACCGACTGATGGGGGAGAGGGACGGAAAGCGACCGGGAAGGGCTGAGGAGGGGAGGGTGAGGCGCGGTGCGGGCTGGACGCCTGACGCCGACCGTTACTTCTCAGCGTAGATCATGCAGGGGGCCCGGCCCGCCTGTGCCTGGATTAAGGGGCTCGTCTCTTCCTTAATGACAGGAAGGGGTGGGGGCTCCCAGCTTTAATCACAAAATTCTTTTAAGAACCCCAAGATGACTGTTTTCTGGGGTTCACACTAACAGGAGATAATCAGCCCAGGAAAGATGTACATGGCAGACAGCATCCTCCTGTGCAGGCCCACACGGTCACCCAGAGGTCAGTGGGGCCCCAGCTTCTGGCACTGGGGAGCAGGGCTGGGATGGACGCAGTTCACACCCATGCCTCTGAATACTATACAATGGGAATGAATTACTTACTCAAATAAAAAACATGCGGAGGTCCAACCTCTTCCTCAGCCTTCGCCACTGTCTGATAGTTAGGCACTTGGGTGTTGAGCTGGGCCGTGGGCAGGTGCGTGGACGAGGGTGGGTCGGCCTCGTGCGACCCTGGTGATAGAGGAAACCTGCAGTTGGCTGCCCTGGGGGCAGATTCTGGGGCGGGACTTCAGTGAAGTGATTCACGGGGGTGGGGGGGTGGGGGTGGGGGCTAGTCCCTGGGAAACCCAACGCAGGTGAGGAAGACAGGAGAAGGAAGGGGGGAGGGGTGTGGCCCTCGGGGAAGCCTGGCCGGGTCCCACAGGGGCCCTGGAGCCTAAGTGACCCCGCAGAGGTTGCCTGCCCCAAAGCAGGGGGACTTCTTCGTGTCTCCCCCCACTGGGTCCTCAGCTATGAGTGACTGTGTGGTGGTGGCGCGAGTGGTGAACCCGCATGCACCTCCCAGCAAGCTGGCTGCAGTCAGCAGGGCCCGCCTGCAGGCATGGCTCTCGGTGGGAGCCACCGTGCGTCAGCCTCCCTGGCTGGGTTGGTCACCTGGGCTCACACAGGGGTCCCAGGGGATCTGGGCCGCAGCCCCTCTCCCGGGAGCTGGAGCTGAACTGCAGCTGCCTTCCTTTAAACAGACTCACAAACGATAAACTCATTTGCAAAATGCCTTTTTTTTTCTGCCATGAAAAAAATACAGGCTACAGAACACTTTAAAGGCTGAAATATTCAAATGAGGAAGCAAAGAGTAGAAAAATTGGTTTGGAAGAATCCAATCAGATTGCAAGATGTTTGTAATTGGGAAAATGGTGAGATGGCTGGAGGAGCTCCGTGCTGCCCACCTGGGGCACAGCCGTTCAGGGAGGAGACGGTGAGTGTCCTAACTGGGGTGTTGAGGCTGTGGGGGGCTCTCGCTTTTTTTCGAAACTTCGTGGATAGCGTGTATCGTCATTCACTGTATCTCCCTTTCTGCTTCTGCTGTTGAGCAAGTTTGAAGTTAGATTTGAATCCAGGACTAAGTAACCCAGGGATGTGACCAAATTCAAGTCAGGAATTGCTCTTGGGGGTGTATGGTAAGACCTAAAACTTCACCAACTGCCTCAACATCTCTAAGCTTCCCAGGGGCCCAAAGGCGTAACCGTGAGTCTCACCAGACATGTCCCCCACCCAGCCGGAAAGGCTTTCCACCAGGCTAGGTCCCCTCTCAGATGTGTCCCCCACCCAGACCTTGATATTATGCACACAAGCCATTCACACCCTCCCATGGGAACCAGAAGTCACCCTGTCCTCTGCTCACTACAGTGCAGGGCCCCTTACGGCCCTCGCTCCTTCTGTCCCTGCGTGCTGTCCACCCCCCAGCTGTGATGAAATGCTGTCAGTCTCGTCTCTCCAGCAGCTGTCATGTGTTAGGCCATCTCACGCTCTTTAGGGCAAGGGTTCCCGCTCTCACCAATGGGGTGAATCGGGGGTAATCAGGACAGAGAGGCATTTTGAGTCACAAGACTTTTTAGGAGCCTGAGTAGAACCTGCCATACGTGCAAACCCCTGGTACACACCCAGTGTGGTGTAAGCAGGCAGAAAGGACAAGGTGCCACTTCTTTGCTGATGAAGTGGAACTTCCATATAATGCAGTAAGAAAGCTTTAAACTTTACAAGTCTAAAAGTCAACAAAGGAAGTGTTCTAGAGCAAACGATAGAAGCTGTATTTGAAAAACACTACCTCCTATTTCACCTCTGCTAGCGAGAGCGAAATGCTGTCTCCCAGGATTCCCAAGCTCACCTGGCTGCTGATGCCAGGCTGACCTGAAAAGTGAACTGTCTGAAATTCGGTCTCTATTGAAGAGGGATTTGTTTTCTTCTTGACGCCATACTCATAGAAAGAGCAATTACCACTGGAATCAGTAGGAAGGGTTTTCTGTTAATTCATTTTTCTAGAATCTCCACTGTAAACTCATTTACTCACCTGTGGATCTTGAGTTTTATGGAACAAACTTTGCCTAGAACAAGCCCTTGATGGGTGTCGGCTTCTGTGTAGAGTCTGTGCCCGTGGTGATCTTCCTGGAAGCAGCGGCGAGGGAAGATGCCCCTGGGTCTGGAGAATTATCTCCCAGGGTACTCAGGGGGGACGCGGAAGGACAATCGTGCCACGCTTATTGCACCAGGAATGATAAATGCCCATGAGGAAATGGAGCCGAAGATTCATGTCTACAAAAACGAAAGCCATCGACCACTTAGCCTCTTACGTGCTGAAGCAGATGGGACAACATGAGGTACTGTTAGTGACATCATACTGGCCTTGTGGTCACAGCCAGCACAGGGCAGCCCTGGCCCCGGCCATGCCTCCTGTGTGGGCAGGGGTGCATGGGTGGCTCTCTGGTCGCAGCGTCGGACCCTCTGGGGGCCAAGAGTCCGTGTTGTGAACAAGCCCCCGGGTGGCTCCAGCGACTCACTGAGGCGTCAGGGCCCCCTGCTCTGCTGACTACAGAGCGAGGGCCCCATTTTTCCCATTTCTAACTGCCATCTGTTCAGGTTCAGGCGAGGAATAGGAACAAAACGGTTTTGAGTGACTTCAGTACATAGTTCACATCTGCTGCCGTCTTTCCTGGATGGGGCCTGTTGATTCCCCCTCCCGGCCGGTGGATTTGTTCTCTGAGCTTTCATAACCTGCAGGAAGTTCAGGCCAGGGGTCACCGTGGTCGTTTCTCCTGTTCTTGCAGGAGGCCTGGGTCACCCACGTGCCCAGAGGCAGAATGTCTGGGCCCCAGGGCCTGCCAGCAGGCACCCCATGAGCTTCCTGCACCCATCTTCCATCAGAAGCCCAGATGAGGGGGGCAGTACCAACAGGGGCCGCTTGAAAGGTGTGCGGTCTGTCACCTCCCAGACAGTCCGGACGTCACCTGAAGATAGAGCTGGACCCCCAGAGTCGCAGCCATGGAGCGCTGGCCTCGGCCCCAACTCGTCCCTGAGATGTCCCTGCCCACAGCCTTCTCACGGCCCATAGGAGGCCCTGGCGAGTTACCACACAGAGCCTGTGGCGTGTACACCGCGCAGAAGCCGCCTCCCACCGAGCCACTCTGCGCCCTTCGGACGGGATCGCGTGAACAGTCTATCAGACCTGAGTCACATTTCTCCTGCAGGGCTGTCTGTTTACTTAACTGGCATGTGCTGCTCGTCAGGCAGCTTCCCCTTTGCCTTACTGCTTTGGTGGTGGGGGAATGCTAAGCCAGGAACTTTAGTCCAGGTTTTCACAATTATTCATGGCCCATGACTGGTATCATTCATTGCAAAGGCAAGGGGGGGCGAGGTGGTACGTATGCCAGTGAGTGGGGTGGGTGTGAGATGGGGGAGGTGGTACGTACCTATGCCAGTGAGCGGGGTGGGCGTGGGGTGGGGGAGGTGGTACCTATGCCAGTGAGCAGGGTGGGCATGGGGTGGGGGAGGTGGTACCTATGCCAGTGAGCGGGGTGGGCGTGGGGTGGGGGAGGTGGTACCTATGCCAGTGAGTGGGGTGGATGTGAGGTGGGGGAGGTGGGTACCTATGCCAGTGAGCACCCTTCTTCACCATTCCCTTTGAGGTGAGAACCTACTGGTTTGGGTAGGAAAAAAACGTTGAGAACTTCTACTTTCTCAACTCCTCAGCTTTTCTTATACCTCTATTTTTAATTATATATTTTCCTTTTATTTCATTGTGTCAAATGCAGTATTTAAGGACCCTCCAAATTTGTTGTGAAATAAGATATAAATAGGAGAAGGAAGGAGGGAAGGAAATAAAGCCATTTCTGGAAAGGCAATATTTGCCACTTTTACAGGCATATTTAATCGTCCCTGTCTAGCCCAAGGTGAAGATTTCTGTAACACCCCAAGGATATTCATGCCCATCAGAAATTGGGAATGTCCAACCTTTGTGACCTAGCTACTGATGTATGCACAGCTCTAGAAATTAATTTAAAATTTACAAAATACACAGAAATCTGTTGCATTCCTATACACTAATGATGAGCTAGCAGAAAGAGAAATCAGGAAAGCAGTTCCATTCACAATTGCATCAAAAAGAATAAAATACCTAGGAATAAACCTAACCAATGAAGTGAAAGACCTATACCCTGAAAACTACAAGACACTCATGAGAGAAATTAAAGAGGACACTAACAAATGGAAACTCATCTCATGCTCTTGGCTAGGAAGAATTAATATTGTCAAAATGGCCATCCTGCCCAAAGCAATCTACAGATTCAATGCAATACCAATGGTATTCCTCAACAAACTAGAACAAATAGTTCTAAAATTCATATGAAAGCACAAAAGACCCCGAATAGCCAAAGCAGTCCTGAGAAGGAAGAATTAAGCAGGGCAGGGGGAATCTCGCTTTCCAACTTCAAGCTCTACTGCAAAGCCACAGTAATCAAGACAGTTTGGTACTGGCACAAGAACAGAGCCACAGACCAGTGGAGCAGAATAGAGACTCCAGACATTAACTCAAACGTATATGGTCAGTTAATATACGATAAAGGAGCCATGGACATACAATGGGGAAATGGCAGCCTCTTCAACAACTGGTGTTAGCAAAACAGGACAGCTACATGTAAGAGAATGAAACTGGATCACTGTCTAACCCCACACACAGAAGTAAACTCGAAATGGTTCAAAGACCTGAATGTAAGTCATGAAACCACAAAACTCTTAGGAAAAAAACATAGGCAAAAATCTCCTGAATATAAACATGAGCAACTTTTTCCTGAACGCATCTCCTTGGGCAAGGGAAACAAAAGCAAAAATGAACAATTGGGACTATATCACGATAAAAAGCTTCTGTACAGCGAAGGACACCATCAGCATCCCACAGTATGGGAGAACATATTTGTAAACGACATATCCGACAAGCGGTTAACATCCAAAATATATTAAGAATTCACATGCCTCAACACCCAAAAAGCAAATAACCCAATTAAAAAATGGGTAGAGGATATGGACAGTTCTCCAAACAAGAAATTCAGATGGCCAACAGGCACATGAAAAGATGCTCCACATCGCTAATTATCAGGGAAATGCAAATTAAAACCACAATGAGGTATCACCTCACACCAGTTAGGATGGCCAGCATCAAAAAGACAAGAAACAACAAATGCTGGCGAAGATGCGGAGAAAGGGGAACCCCCCTACACTGTTGGAGGGAATGTAAATTAGTTCAATCATTCTGGAAAGCAATATGGAGGTTCCTCAAAAAACTAAAAATAGAAATACCATTTGACCCAGGAATTCCACTCCTAGGAATTTACCCAAAGAGAACAAGTTCTCAGATTCAAAAAGACATATGCACCCCTATGTTCACTGCAGCACTTTTCACAGTAGCCAAGATATGGAAGCAACCTAAGTGTCCATCAGTAGATGAATGGATACAGAAGATGTGGTACATATACACAATGGAATATTATTCAGCCATAAGAAGAAAACAGATCCTACCATTTGCAACAACATGGATGGAGCTAGAGGGTATTATGCTCAGTGAAATAAGCCAGGCGGAGAAAGACAAGTATCACATGATTTCACTCATCTGTGGAGCATAAGAACAAAGCAGAACTGAAGGAACAAAACAGCAGCAGACTCACAGAACCCAAGAAGGGACTAGTGGTGACCAAAGGGAAGGGGTGAGGGAGGGAGGGTGGGTGGGGAGGCAGGGAGAAGGGGATGAAGGCTATAATGATTAGTATACACGGTGGGGGGGTCATGGGGAAGACAGCATAGCTCAGAGAGGACAAGTAGGGACTCTGTGGCATCCTACTACACTGATGGACAGTGACTGCAATGGGGTATGGGGGGGACTTGACAATATGGGTGAATGTAGTAACCACATTGTTTTTCATGTAAAACCTTCATAAGAGTGTATATCAATTATACCTTAATAATAAAAAAAGATGAGGAAAAAAACAACTTGTGGTTTAAGTGGAGAAAATTTGTGGTTACTAATGAGGAAGAAATTTAGAACAATCAGTTTCATATATTAAGCATTTGAAAACTTAAAACTCCCCAAAATGCTATCACAATGACGATAAAGCAATCAAAAAGATTTAGAAGGTACTGAAAATTTTAGCACTATGTAGAGTGCTTTCCATGAAAATATTTAATAGAACTTCTGAAGGAACTGATGTGGACATGGGTACCAGGGACCCACCTGTCACAAAACACAGATGCACCTAAATGAGAAAACATCTGTTTGAAAAGTATATAAACGAAGATAGTTCATTTCATATCACCAAAGAAGTTCCATTTGTTTCACATAAAAGTGTTTCAGTTGCTTAAAATATAAATCTCAAGATTCTGAAGAAAATGGCTATTGATGATCTATGGCACTGGGAACTACATTTAATAAATGTATTGAACAAAAAAAAGAAAAAGAAAAAGTGTGCAAAAAAAACTTCTAACTCAAGAAGAAATTTATATGTGTTAGGGAATTTATCTCCTGAAATGTCAGCATTAACTTTTTAAAGCAAAAAGAGTTCCCTTCCGTAACTCAAATAATCTTCTAATTAACCTAGTTGGCAGTCTGATTTTGGTCTAGAGTTTCTTAAAATAAAGGTCACATTTATTTCATCTTCGTTTCTTAGTAAACTAGCAGAACAATTAAGTATCTATGTTCTGACACGTCAATTTCCAGGTGCCTTTTTTTTTTTTCCCAAAAAACTAGATTATTACATTCATTTATTTAAAAGAAGGTCCCATCACGATTCTTCTCCAAGGACTCAAAGACTGAAGACTTACCAGGAACAGGGAGGTGCTGTGGCTTATTCTGGCACATGTGGATTCATATCGGGGGGATTTGCTCAAGTTTAGAAAGCATCTGTTTCCTAACAAATGGAAACCCATCCCAAAGTCGGATCTGTCTTCTTCCCACAAGCGACGGATTCACACCATGAAACTCCCACCCTGGGCATCCAGAAAAATGCAGGGAGCACGGCTGGCACGAAGTCCCCTGGGGCACGCGGGAGGTCCTGTGCGGCACCAGCAGATGGCATGGGCCCTGACTGGCTCTCCATCCATGTGCTCCTGCTGAACCACAGGATGGTCACTTCGATGGCTCTGAGTGCCGGTGTCAGGGTGTCATGGGGGGTGGGTGGGCTCTCAAAGTCTGATGAAGGCCACATCACATACACGTCTGCAGAACCTACAATCAGGGCACGGTTCCCAAGTGAAAGCATGCCGGTGACGCTGCCACAATGTTTATTTCCCCTGGAGGAAGGTGATGGCATGTCCCAGTCTGCCAGGAAGTCCTGGTTTAGGCCCGCTGTCCTGGCACACTTACTAGTAGCACCTCCTTTCACTCCTCAACGTGTCCTGGTTTGCACAATGAATCACTCTATCACTTCACATTCAGGTGTTGCTCACTTAAGACCCGGCCCACTCCAAGAGCCTTCCCAGCTGCGTCCCTCAGTCCAGACTTTTCTACTGCCCCTCCCCCGCCCCCTGCCCCACTCCTTCAGGGCCAAAACAGAGCACGTCTGATTAAAATGCATGCATCTGAGAACTGACCCCTGCACCAGACACCTGTGTCTAACGGTGTCTTCCAGGCCCATGTCTGGCCCCGTGGGACAGACCCCGATGGGGTGGTGGCCCTTCAGAGTTCTCCCCACACACCACCGAGGCGCGCCCGGCACTGGGGAGAGGGCTTCCCAGGCGCGGGGATGCAGATCGGGGGCTCCGGCACCCGCGCAGCTTGCGTCGAGGCAGCCCCGACCTCTGCCCTCCGCAGAGGCCCGGCAGCGCCAGCCCCAGGCACCCCCGCTGAGGGCAGTGCTGCTGGCTCAGACACAGGCAGCTGAGGTGAGCTTTTAGGTGAAAAGAAACTTTATTCTAATATAGCATTGAAAGTTTTCGAAGTAGGAACTGTTCTTATATCTGACAAAAAACTTCTTACTCTTTGAACACCTAAAAGGTGGTATTCTGTACAATTACATAAATATTTTTTTGTCCATATAAACATGTCTACGACCCTAAAAGCTTTTTGAAAAATCAATACAATCAGATTCTTTAGACAGTGAATAGCCTAGTCAGAAAACAAGAAACGTCCCCAGAGCACAGCCAGGGATGCACAGAGGACACAAGGGACGTGGACACAGAGCAGGACGGCGCTGGGCAGGGAAAGGAGGGGAAATAATAAAAACAACAAGCCCCGCACTCGGTTTCAGAGGATGAGACCCCGCAGAAACTCAGTATCGCAAAACGGGAAACGAACCGTCCCGGGCAAAGGCAAGTCGACCTTGTGAACGAATCCCGTTCCGAGTCGACGCGAGGAGCCCGTCGAGCCCATCAGCTGGCAGTTCGCTTCCCAGGGGCA